TGACCAAATACTTATTTTCCACCATTATTTGCAAATAAATTATTTAAAAGTCAGACAAAATGATTTTCTCAAATTTTTTTTCACATTTTGTCTCTCATAGTTGAGGTCTACATATGATGTCAATTACAGGCCTCTCTCATCTTTTTAAGTGGGAGAACTTGCACAATTGGTGACTGACTAAATACTTATTTTCCCCACTGTACCTATGATGTCAATTACAGGCCTCTCTCATCTTTTTAAGTGGGAGAACTTGCACAATTGGTGACTGACTAAATACTTACTTTCCCCACTGTACATCAGTGGTGCCGATGATGCATGTTTTTGTGTTTACCGTGTTCACACTTGGACTTGTGTGCATCACTGGACTCAAATCAAATCTCATTTTTTGAACCGTTTAACTTGATGTATTTTAAATTTATTTTATTTTTTTACTTATTTCAAACTTTGTTTCTTTAAAACACAAAAGTAATTATATGTACAATAAAAAATACCAGTCCAAAAACTGATCCAATCTTGAGCAAATTTAAAGTAAAATATTTAAAACATCTTTTCACCTTTAAATATGTTGAAATGTTCATTTTGTCTCTTTTTAGTTCATCAGTTTGACTTTGTAACTAAACTTCCATCAAACTTGTAAAAATGGACCGAAGTGGTTCCGACCGGTCCAAATGTTTCATTTCATAACGTTAGGATTAAATGAGTGGAAGGACAGCGCCCCCTGCTGGTGGTCTTAAAGAAGAACAACAACAATCCTGAGACGTTCTGCAGGTTGAAAATTAAACTCTTTATAAACTCTAAATAGACTTTAGACTTTTTTAAACAGACTTTGATGAGCTCAAAGGCTGAGAAGTTCTGGTTTATCTAACATTTTATGAGTTTTTAAAATAAAAGTTTAAAGATCAAGAGAAACAGGAAGTTAAACAAGACAAAAAAGGTTCAAAGAGTTGAAGACAAAGATGAAATATTTATTTGGAACGTTTACATCTTTAACACAATAAAAACAAAAACAACTGAGCAGAAACTACTGTCATCACTTTACAGCTGCTCCATTCTGACATCACTTCCTGTTTCAAACAAAAAATAACTGTTTCCTGGCAGTAGCTCCTCAGGAGGTTTAATATCCTCCTCTGTAGCCACCACCTCCCCCTCCACCTCCCCTATACCCTCCTCCTCCTCCATAGCCACCCCCTCCCCTGTACCCTCCTCCTCCTCCTCCTCCATAGCCACCCCCTCCCCTGTATCCTCCTCCCCCTCTGTATCCTCCCCCTCCTCCATACCCACCACCTCCTCTGTACCCTCCTCCTCCTCGATAACCTCCCCCTCCTCTGTAACCCCCTCCCCCACCCTGATACCCTCTTCCTCCTCTTCCTCCCCCGTCAAAGCGGGCCATTTTCGGAGGCCTAGGACCGTCTCCCATCCTGCAAAGACAGAGACAGGTTTGGGTTTTGGACTAAGTTCAGAAACCTGAAGCCTTCAGGGACTTGGACCAGCGGACTTTGTGGTACCTTTGGTTGCAGGCCATCAGGTTGATCCCAGCTGAGGAGGGTTTGGACACCTGTCTTATCATGTTCAGCAGCTGCTGGTTGCTCTGGTCCAACTGGTTGATGTACTCAGGGTCTTTGGTAACTTCCACCACCAGACCCTCGAGTCCGGCCCGCAGAGCTGCCACGCCACCTGCCACCTCATGAGGAACCCTCAGCTTGATCCTGCAGAATTAGAGTCAGAAACATGACATCATCATGTTTGAACAGGTTCCCTCAGAGAGGCCTTTGGATTGGTAAGAGTCTACGGTCCACGAGAGAATCTGTCCGGATCAGACCAGAGTTCTGGGCCTACTGCAACAGGACTAAACTGATCTGGTTCTGTAGTCCTAAGCCTGAATAATACTCAGTTCTTTGGTTCTAAAGTCCTTAACTCTGAGTACAGCTCAGTTCTGGGTCTATAATCCTAACTCTGAGTAAGAGTTCAGGTTTAACCCTCAGGTCTCACCAGTCGTCCAGCTCCACCACGTCTCTGTTGGAGTTGATCTTCTTGCTGGCGAACAGCAGCAGCTGCAGTGGACTCACCATGGTCATCCCTTTAGCTGAGATGGCTCTGGTTCGGATCTGAAGGGACAGAACACAGGGAGTCCAGAGAGACGGGTCCAGACACCAGGTGTTGGGTTGGATGGAACGTGACCCACCTTCTCGGAGAAGACGAAGAACGGCGAGGGGTACTTGATGTCTTGGCTGCTGAAGGGACAGTTGACGGAGGATTTGTGGATGAGCGCGTTGCGGCCCTCGGTGGTCAGGATCTTCCTCTTCTCCTTGTGGTAGCACACGTTGGGGTACGAGCCGTAGGTCAGCAGAGAGACCACCACGTCCAGGTTGTTGTCTGGTCCCACGGTGTTGAACATCTGCGTCATCAGGCACTCTGACAGGAAACAAACAGGAAGTCACCTCACCACTTCCTGTTTCACACACAGCCATCGATGCGTTCAGGTACCTTCAGGGAATCCAGAGTTCACCAGGATCTCCTTCAGCTGGACTTTGGCCTCCCAGGTCATCCTCAGAGTGGACATGTTGAGACGTTTGTGATCACAGAAAGCAGTTTCAGCGTCCTCGCCGTTGACCCTGAACAGAAACACACAGAATGAAGCGTTTCTGATCACGGCAGAGGACCGTCAGCTCTCTCTCCATCCGACCCCGAGGAGGGCGCTGACCTGACGTCGTCCCAGGCCTGGAACACAGACAGCAGCGCCACGTGATCCGAGAAACGAGTCCCGGAGAAGTTCCTGTGGACGAAGCCGAGGCGTCTCCCCTCGTTGACGAAGGGTTCAGGGAAGCAGGAGGCGGCTGAGATGGTGCACATGGCATCTCCCACGCTGAGAGGACAGAAAACAACTTTAATCTGAGTTCTCAGGAGGAACACGGAGCGCTGAGAGGAGACACCCACTGGAAGATGCAGCCCATGATCATCATCTTCCCCAGCCGAGGCTCGATGGGCAGCCGGGCCAGAATCCGGCCCAGAGGGGTCAGCTCATCATTAGAGTCCAGAGCGTCCAGTTCTGAAAGACAACACGTGGACGAGTGAAGGCCGAAACAAGAACTAAAGTTTTATAAAACATTTCTGATTTGTTTGAATTTAGACAGATTTAGAAACTAAACATGATTTAAAGTTTAAAATAAATCAAGTGACCTGCTCTCACAGAGAGCCCCGCCCACCTCTCAGAGTGTACTCGGCCTCGATGACGGCGTCCAGCGGCGGCGGCTCGATGGCCTTGGACAGGAAGTGTCCGATGGCACCGAGCCTCAGCAGCTTGATGCTCAGAGCCACTTCGTGCAGCGGAGTCCTGAAGATCTCCGGGGTCATGTGGGTCTCCAGCCTCTCGAACCGAGCCCGGCTGCACAGGTGGAAGCAGAACCCGGGCCGGACTCTGCCGGCTCGACCCTTCCTCTGCTCCAGGTTGGTCTTGGAGGCCCAGACCGTGGCGTAGTTGGTCATGTTGTTGTGGGACGTGAAGAGCTTCACCTTCTGCCTGTTGGGACGAACACAACATGACCTTTGATCTTCCGTTCAGACTGGTAGACCCGAGGCGGGGCGGGGCCCAGAGGCAGGACTTACTTGCAGGAGTCGATGACATAGACCACGTCGTTGATGGTGATGCTGGTCTCTGCGATGTTGGTGGACAGAATCACCTGGAACATCAGAAAAACTGTTACAAAAACTGAGTACAAAACAAAACCGGAGTTCTCCAACCACTGACCTTGGTGACGTCCTCAGGAACCGGTTCAAACACCCTCCTCTGCTCCTCCCGGGGGATCTGAGAGTGCAGCGGCAGGATCCGGTACCGGCTAGTTCCTGGAACATGAAGAATACAAAAAGAAGATGTCAGCTCAGGCCTGGAGGAGTTTCTGAGACGGTAGGAGGGTCCAGGTACCGAAGTGTGGGCTGGTCTCCAGGTGTCTCTGCATGGCGTAGATCAGGTTCCAGCCCGGCAGGAAGACCAGGACCGCTCCAGCCACCTTCAGCGTCTCAATGTACTTCAGCAGAGCCTCCACCAGCTCGAAGGACATCTCCTTCTCGTTGATCTGAGCCATGGAGCGCTTCGCCTCTGCCGTGTATTCTGGCCCACAGATCAGGTTACAGTTGGTCTGCAGGGACAGGGTCAGACTGAGATCTGAAGGTCCCCGAGTTAAACCCCAAACCCATCCAGACCCACTGGGACCAAATAAACCTTCATACATCATCATCCCCTCCTTCCTCGTCTCTGTCTCTCTTCTTTCGGTCATTGGGTGGAGGAACAAAGTTGGTCATCTGGATACAATCCTCCAGGAAGTACTCTGAAAACACAAAAACACAACTTTCATTTCATGTATTGTTATATGAATAGGGACAAGTGTCAAGTATTAACAATACTGTACACTACAACATTTATAGCCTGAGCTCATCTGCAATGCCCACAGATGGGCTTTTAGCAACATGAAATAAAAGTGTAAAACACAGTTAACAAACAAAAACATCACAATATTAAAAAAGCAGTATTAAAGAATTTCTCTTCTTTGATGCATGCTTCAGCTCCATTTCTTTTATTTACAGGATATTTTTGGTTTGTTTCAGTGAATTCTGAACAGATGGACTCAGTTTTCTGTTTCCTGATCAGGTGTTCTCCTGACAGGTGAGTACCTTGAACAGGGAAGGTGCGTCCGAACACCTCGATGACGGGACAGTCGAAGAAATACTGTCGGAACATGCTGGTGTCGATGGTGGCTGACATCAGGATGACACGGACCTCGGGGAAGGCCTGAACCACGTCCCTGAGGACCACCATGAGGAAATCCGTCTGCAGAGAGAGACCGGGTGAAAAAAACACAACTCAAACAGTTCAGTTCTCTTGAAAGGTTCTGATCCATGGACTCACATTGATGTCTCTCTCGTGGATCTCATCAACGATGACGTGACTGATTCCTCGGATTCCTGCTTCCAGTTTTCTCAACAGAACACCTGAAACAGTTTAGATTTTAGTTCTTTACTGAAGGTCCACACGGTACTGTAATGCTTCTGTAACGGCCCGGTAATGCCTCTGCAAATGCCCCTGTAAGACCTCTGCGACACCCCTGTAAGAACTCTGCGACGCCCCTGTAAGAACTCTGCGACGCCCCTGTAAGAACTCTGCGACGCCCCTGTAAGAACTCTGCGACGCCCCTGTAAGAACTCTGCGACGCCCGTGTAAGACCTCAGCGACGCCCGTGTAAGACCTCAGCGACGCCCGTGTAAGACCTCAGCGACGCCCGTGTAAGACCTCAGCGACGCCCGTGTAAGACCTCAGCGACGCCCCTGTAAGACCTCTGCGACAGCCATGTAAGACCTCTGCGACGCCCCTGTAAGACCTCTGCAACGCCCCTTAAGACCTCTGTAAATGGCCATGTAAGACCTCTGCGACGCCCCTATAAGACCTCTGTAAACGGCCATGTAAGACCTCTGTAAACGGCCATGTAAGACCTCTGTAAACGGCCATGTAAGACCTCTGTAAACGGCCATGTAAGACCTCTGCAAACGGCCATGTAAGACCTCTGCAAACGGCCATGTAAGACCTCTGCAAACGGCCATGTAA